GACCTACTCACCACTGCTTTGAATATATTGAAACTGAGTGATTACGGGCTGGCAGGCTCCAAAATAAGGTATATAAAATGACCCACATAACTTGTGCACTATATTCCAAGTAGCTTTGTATGGAAAAACAGGCCAAAATTTAAAGTGATAATTCACCCAAAAACAAAAATCCTGTCATTTATTTGTTCCAAACCTGCAGGACTTTCTTCTGTGGAACACAAAAGAATATATTTTGAAGAGTGTTTTCAACATTGGGCCCCATTGATTTTTATTGCATGGGGGGAAAAAAATGTTTACAAAATACCTTCTTTTCTGTTCCAAAGGAGAATGAAAGTCAGACAGGTTTGGAATTACATGAGGGTGAGCAAATGGTGACAGAATTTTCAGGTTTTTATACATGGATCACACTGTGTATAAAAACATACCTTCCATATTACAATTAGACATTCATTTAGACTTTTACTGCAACATTAGAACCTCAACATTAAATGTCAACATTGACATTTTTCAGATGATTTTTCTGCAAAACGTCATATTATTCATGACGATTAACCTACAGCAAATGAGACTGGAACCTATTAAGTCATTATATGTTCATCTATGACCGTTTTCCTTGAATTATAGTGGCAATTCAGGTCAGTTCAGCTTGCTTCGGTGTTCCTGCAGCAAATTTTATAGTTGGATCCTGCATATGCAAACCAAACGTCAAGCTTTTCATACAAGATGCCCTAAAAACAACAACAATTAATTATCTAACACCAAGACAAATAACAACAGCCAAATCAAAAAGCAAAGGGGAAGTCAATGTGTTGAGCTTTATCAAGCACTACAATACACAAACGTCATCATAAGAGTTTTAATAGGCTATATCCCTGACTAATAAACAAACTGTCTCAGGAAATGTCCAGGGTATGATCTAGGAACAAAATTATCTAGGTGTTTTCTTAATGAAAACTCCCTTGTGCCGGGTCTCCATGGAACAAACTAACCAAAGCTGGCCTGAACGCTGGGATAAACTGACAGAAGACAATGGCACGGCAGAGAGCCAAAACAAACATAGATTCTACAGGCTGGCCCTGACGTTTGATGACCCAGACTTCCTCAGTCTCTTTGCAGCTACATCGCTGATATCAGTAAGAGCGGAATGCCACTGACAAATAGGTTAATTAAATCATACCCACAGGAATGTATGAGAGAAATGAGAAAATAAGAGTCTGAAGACAGACCTCAGAGGCTCCCCGGGAGTTCAGGATCCTTCAGGATGAGGGTGGTGATAAGACAAAACCCCACCTGCACTGCAGAATCTGATCCCAAAATATCATTGTGAATCAAGAGCAGAAGTGCCATCCAAATCACAAGGAACCAACATAAATACCTACAAATTTGGGAGTGAGTCTAATTTTTCCCAACAACAGACCATAGGAAACACAGTCTACTGGAAAAGACGTGTCTGGTATCAAAACATTCTATTTTCAGCATTTTTTCTGGCTGGCAAAGATAGACATCATTGAGGATCCTGATAAGGGTGATGACTGAAGCTTTCAGGATTAAACCCCCAAAACCAAGAAGTTTAAAAATAGCCTAATGCCTGGCTGTGTGAGTGCAGTAAGACATATAAGGCAAAACATGGTACTTGAAAGTAAAATTAACACGGCATCAACTACGAAGCACGGCGGTAGATGAGGCAAGACATTTCAATGCGTTTAAATCACCGTGGGTTTCTTCAGCTGCACACCACACTAAGCTGCTCTACATCTGCTGCTTCTCGCATAATTAAGGTGACCCTGGTCTGGAGAGCAAAAATTGAGGGACCAAACTCCACCTATTCACCACAGGGCTGTCCTTCTGTTTCACAGACCCCACCTTACATTTGCAGACTCTGTCTTTTTTGATAAACTCCACAAACATTGTGTATTAGTCCACATACCGACAAATTTGATTTATGAAATTTCAAAAATCGCTAACTCCAGTCATAAAAATGGAACATACTGTATAACACAGAACATCATAGAATTTTGCAAAATGTATAAATCAAAAGCAGGGCTGTAAACGTAATCAAATCTTATTAAGGACTACAAACTATGCATATTAAACCGCAAAAAGACTGCATGTTCTGTGTGTCACCATTTTATTTGATGAAACTATCATCAGATACACTAAAAGGTCTTCACTACTAAAAGAAAAGTTTGGTTTAACTTGAAATTATAACAAATATATATTAAAATTGTATAGTATAATGTACTTCTCAAAGTAAAAACAATAATAATTTAAGGAATATCAGAATTTTTCATCTGTGTTTTAATTTAAAAAGTAAACCTTGGTTGTGCAAGACTCCTTTTTGTCAAAAATGAAATAACTTGTTAATTTCATTCGATATGTGAAGATTCCTTAAACTGTAGTTGATGTTTTATGCATTCATTTGATTACTACTGTTTTTGATAACACTGTAATTTTTTGATAAAAATATCTGTATTAAAACACAAAATCCAGAAAAATTAACAAGCAAAACCATTTCTGAAAAAAACAAAACACATTTCATAGCATACTAGTATTGTTAGAAAATTTTAAATATTAAATAGTTCAAGTTCTATGAATTTAACTGATTAGACATCCTTTTTGATTATTACAATTTATTAAACCATTGAAAAGGAATCCAGACAACTTAAAACAGAAAACACAGAATGGGGGGGTAATATGGATTTCATAGGTCCTTACATTTATACAATAAAGCTCATAGGGGGGCTTTTTCGAACCCGCACCCAACTAGCATCCTGGTTACAATCATATGGCAAGCAGAGAAACAATGTGTGCATGGCCAAGTGCAGCAAAAAGGCAGAATACAGAGTAGTAGATACGCATGACAATCGCAGCTTCTATCGAATCGCGATCTCGATTCCATTTCGATTTATCGTGCAGCCCTAATACAGACCCCATAAAAGGTCCCCATAGGGGTGCGGAAGCTTCAAAGGGACAAATGTTAAAGAGCAACACCTGGAATGCTCGGCTTTGTGGTGACTTGTTGCCTTGGTGATGGGCCCTCCTGTCTGATACTCGAAAACCAGCGGATGACGCAGGATGCTCAATTTAAATGATGAGAATGAGATTACGGCAAAATTTCCCCATAGATCACTGTACGGGACATTCAACATAAACAAGACTGCAGTCGAGAGCAAAGAACAAATTCTAGCATGCTTGAATGGTTGCTAGGTTTCAAGAGCTTCAGACAATTCTTCTTGAGTTGCGAAAAGGAAGTTATGAAAGACAAATCTCCCAGATTTGATCTGAAATGTGGCAACACTATTTGTCGTGTGAGGTCAAAACAACATGGTCTCAAATTAACTTGGGGAAAACCAATTGAAACACTGTCAAACCTATCAGTTCCACTTGGCCCTTCATGCTTCCTTCAATTTTGAATAGAATTTCACTTGTCTTGCAGTTGAAATGCGGCGTATGAGAAAATATACATGTCAATTACCTATTCTCTCCAAAACATGAGCAAAAATTCTCCTACTTAACTGGTGTTTAGTTAAGGACCCCTGGGCCTGTTCATCCTGCGCTCACACACACACACACACACACACACACACTATACTGGCCAGCCGGTGAATCAATTTGTGGCGTTTAATTACGATTGGGTGATTTTCTCAGCTGACGCTGCCTCCCAGACCAGTGAAGACATTTCTCACGTGGTTGCTGGTGTTGAGACGCAGCTGAGATGATTTTCTGTGGAAAAATCTCAAGCCCCCAAAACCCAGATGGCACACACAAATCCCTAATCACTTCACCACAGCTGCTATTATGGACAGCCAATGATGTAGAAATTAATATTAAGCACGCTAATCACTTCTAAGAACGTGTGTATGACCCTTACCACACCAATTTTTTTCCAAAGTGTAGGGATCATTTTGGATTATGCATCAAATCTCTCTGAAGATGGGATAACAGTCTATGAAGACATAAACGACACTCACATGAGGTATGAAATTAAAAGCCTTTGTTAGAATAAGTCATTATGCTAAAAACCACAATCAACCAGTTACGGCTAGAAGAGCCATCATCAGGATGTGCTTATGGGCCAATGATAAGATAAGTAAATTCTTTGGCACTCAAACTCAAAAGTGTGGCGCCACACCTGGCAAAGTCTCCTTAACATTAGGATGGTAGTAATGCTGCATGAAAGGCAATCAGTGATCTAAAGATGCCAAGGCCAAGAACATCAATACACAGTTGTGAACTGAATTCCCACATCGTGCCCCATTCAATGCTGATGCAGAAGAAATGGTGCTGTTCTATTCGCCGCATGCATTCTGCATGCATACGCAATAAATGTATGCAATAATGATGGGCTGCACATAAGGAGGGTTTCCCACTCCAAAGTTCAATGAGATTAAAAAATAAATAAATAAAACATTCTCAAGAATAACAACAAATCAAGGCTTACCAGGCCACTACATAATATTAGGATATTTAAACAAATATTATCAGGAACCAGAAGAACTGGAAACGCCAATGATTTGTTTACACGCTGTAATGACAATAATGGACCCATCTGAATTTGTATAAATGCCTTGGAATAATATGTACATTTGTATGTATATACAATATACATTAAATATGTATGAATATCAATATATGTGTGTGTGAGTGTGAGTATACATACATGCATGCATGCATACACACACACACTACAATCAATATTTTAAAACAATAAATAAATAATTCAACGAATTGATGAACGCACCAAACCTGCCATGCGTCTGTGCCATACAGTGCACGCGCAACACTGTTGCCAAATAAGATCCATGCAAGCATTTCAAAGGAGAGACACTGGAGCTGAAAGTCTGCCTAAGCAGCAGTCCGCTTTTATTCATAACGTTGGAAATAAACAGGATGGTTCATTGGTTCATCAAATAAGATGAACGCCGCTCGGAAACGACATGCAACCGTCGCCCATTTCACGTCAATGTTATATTATATTGTCATTTGGAGATCGGACCTACCCCTTATGTTCCTATGCAGCCGTGTGGATGAGGATCTGCTGCTCTTTTGCGCTGGTGTTCGTAGAGTGGGACGCGCTGGAGATGAAGAACACCTTCGCCAAGCGTAAACGCTTCGTCCTTCGGTTTTCCTTTCCTATCAAACAGTAACTCCTGATTTTCGTGCATACCAGTCAGCACGTAGCAAATGTAAAGGATTTGTGATCACCATAAATCAAGAGTGCAGCCGCAAACGGGGAATAACCAGTGTATCTTTCAACTGTAGCGACGCGGTTCTGCAATCATATGAAGACGCCGTGCGCATACGGGTGCTCTGCAACAGCTTCTGCGCGTGGAGGGCGGAGTTAACATTCATTATTCATGAGGAGGCGGGGAATACGTCTGCCTCCCGTTCTCCACACGCTGCGCTTTGGATTAAACCTATGATGATGCCTAATAATTCATTATAGATAAATGCTGACTTTTACAGCATGTTTCGATATTTTTCTACCGCTTTGTTCCTTTATTGAGATTATATAAATAATAAGACATGTAAAATATAAAAAAAAATGTATTTGTTTGTTTGTTTACGTTCATCAAATAATAATTGAATTCATTGATCTAAAATCAACCTAACCCTATCCCTTAAGAAAACGAAACTGGCATATTCAGGATGGGGGCAGGTCAACACATCAAATGTGTTGTATAGTCTGTTTTTTTATCTTATCTGATCTTCTGTTGCTCAAACTTGCCTATGGGCATCAAAATCCTTCTGATACATCATTACTGTACATCATTATGTTTTCCAGTTGATATCTGACACTTAATATTTAAGGATGAAAAGGGTATTAATAGATTTTAGACTACACTCTAAAAAATGCTGGGTTATATTTAACCCAGCATTTTTTAGAGTGTAGCCTATAATTTACAACACTTTCTGAATATCTAAGGACTGACAGTTGTAATTGGAAATCCTTAGCATTTTTGAGGAATTTGTTGATTGCCCGTTCAATGGTCCTTTTCACCATGTGATGCATAGTTATAATAATCAAAATCATAGTAATCAAAAAATCTTTGTGTACATTTTTTTTAAATTGTAAAACATGTTCAGACTGACTGAATGAGAACAGGCTATACTCTAAAAAAAATGCTGGGTTAAATACAACCCAGTGCTGGGTAAAATAGGGAGAACCCCAGCAATTGGGTTGTTTTGACCCAGCGGGTG